AAACACTGGTTGTGCCGGTCCTGTACTGCAGTGAAGCAGCAGTCAGGAACAGGGGAGAAGGTACTGGTCGGGAGAAGGCCTGGGGAGATCCTGTCATCATTTTTGTGACTTTCATTTGTAAGGAGGCCTGTCTTGGCGAATGAGCAGACTGTTGAGTGGACCCACAACAGACAGAGGCTGGTGTCTGCGTCAGTCCTGCCAGTGGTGCCGGTCCTTGGCCAGCTGCCAGCTCTTTCCCTCACATGCCCGCCTGCGTTTGGTAGCTGGACACACGTTCACTGATGATCACAGAGAAAGGAGCCGTGCTTCTCTGTGGCTTAATTTGCTCACTTGAGCCTCTAAATTTGGAAATGGGAATGTCATAAATACTGCAGAGGTGTGAATGGGACCTTTTCCAGCAGAAGAGAGAGTCTTAAAATATGTGGTGTCTGGTCACCCAAGACCATGGCAGACTGTGTTATTACAATCCACCCCTCTGCCAAAAGGAGCAGTTTGTTCCTTCTTTAGGACACAGATAATAGGTAGGATCATGTAACTTGCCTTCAAATGAATTTGACCTTGGTTTTCTAGTGCAGCTGAGCACACCGAGATCAGTGGGTTAATAAGGATACCTTCCCCTTTAATTAATTCTTAGTTACTACTAAAGCTGTGTTAATACACTACTGTTCCTATAGAGTTCAGACCCTGGCCAAGTCCTGTTCGGGACACGTCTGATCCGCTGCTGTGCTGCGATTGCGGGATTTTTGTCTTCCATGCACCAGAGGGTGTAATTCCCTCCTTTAAAGAAGTCTGAAAAGCCTCTAATCCCTCCCCATTCCCAGATTGCTTATCCCTTGGCTGAAAACCTGGTTAGAAGCACTGAGATCAGCTCAGGTCTGCCCCGGCCGCATGGTGACCACTGGTAGCCCTGCGATGAAGTGGCAGCCAGTTAGTGCAGTCCTCAGTGTTACCAGTGCTGTGCGGTCTACAGAGGTGGAAAGAAAAACAAGATTCGCATTGCTTAGCAAATCTGTTCCATACTGTATATAGTCTGCAGTTTTGTCTTAATTGTGCTTATAATGCAGAAGCTCAACACACTCAGTTTTATTTTAGTGTCAGTATGTATTTATAACTTTTCTTCAAAAATGAGGAACCAGAGTCACTATATCACTATAGCACCTGTTGTTGATTTATTTAAGAGTCTGCAGCTGGGAAAATCTGACATGGCTCTACTCTACATATTTTATAGCCAGCAGCCATATCACCCTGCAACTCCCCACTGGCAGCCCACAGGAGCTCAGCAGGTGTGAGCCTGGTCAGTACCTGGATGGGAGACCTCCTGGGAAAAACCTGGGAAAGGTTGTGTTACCCATTGTATTTCTCGAGAAGAGTAGGGGTGTAACCCCGGCGTCCTGGCCCATTGGCCCTTACCAATCATAGCCTCCTAATAACCCCCCTCTCTGAACTGGCTTCATCACTCTGCTCTCCTCCCCACTGAGAGCTGCTGTGTGTGAGAGGACTGGAGCATCATCCAGGTGGGGCTGCACACTGGTGGTGGTGGAGGGGATCCCCATTACCTGTAAAGCGCTTTGAGTGGAGAGTCCAGAAAAGTGCTGTATAAGTGTAAGCAATGATTATTATTATGACATGCGTGAACTTGTGCTATGCTGACTTTGGTTGATGGCCTCTGCACTTTCATTTTTCGTTTCAGGCATGTTTTCCTGAAACCTTCTTTATTTATATGATCCCTTTGTGTGAGCGCTGAGTGCTGCACAGTTTTGGTGGGGTGTCAGGGTGTTGTGTAAGGCCAACACACGCCAGTGCTGTGGACAGTTGTTTCAGAACAATTTAAATGTGAAGCATGGCAAAATTATAGTGTAAGCAGACTATGAGATCAGTAGCTATTCAGTATAATTATTATTGGAGTGAGTTTTCCTTTCCCCTGCAGTCTTCTACAGGCCATACAGATTACAACCTGTTCTTCTAACCTAAAGAAAACCACTTAAAAACTCTTCTGCTGTTGAAGAGATTGTCGTGTTTTTGGCTGATCTCTGCCCAGTAAACCAGGGCTTTAATTGCTGCATATGTGAAGGAGGAACTTGGCCTTGCCTAGTTAGATCCAGATGTTTTCCGGCAAAAACATATGAAAAGATTTAATTTCTTTCCCACAGGAGTGAAAAGTGACTCTTACATATAGCGTATTTACAGTGGCAACTGCCCTAAACCATAAATCAGGTCTAACTGGGAGTTGGTTGACATTTTAAAGACTAGGAATTTTTATAAGTTTTTTTTTTCTTTTTGAGAAATGTGTAAAAGGATTAGAATTAAAAAAGGATGAAAAAATTGGATGTCATTCACATAAAGCTTTGCAGCTGTAACTGGAGAGATGTCCTGCTGCTGTATTGGGTCAGATCACTGTATCACTCTTGTGCTGTGGCAAGATTCCTATCTGTTCAGAGATTTTATGTGAAGATTATACTTGCATGAAAATTTTCAAAACAATTAATTGTAAGCCCGATACACATTCTTTATGACAGATGCTCAGGAGAGCACTACTGTACATTCTTTAAGGATTTAATAGCTTTTAATGAGGGACTAGAGAATATTCAACCCTAAATTCAATATTTCAAAATATAATTGATTGAAATCCATTAGCTTTTTAAATATTTTACTCACCCGATCATTGACATTGAGCAGACACTGCCACCCCATGGATGTGAACTGTAATTGAAACAAGTGTTTTTCAAGGGAGCACTATTCTGTACATTTTGAGTATGAAGTTACTTCTCTTAACTGATTTGATAAGAATATGAGCATTACTGATTCTGTACTAAACTAACCTTGATGAAGATGCACAGAAAGTTTTCTGAAATCAATCCAACTATCATGATGGCTCTTCTTCTGGTGTTATATGGGCATATTCAACCATTCGGCTAGTTTAGTATACAGTAAATGCACTGGTGTTCTTTTAGAAAAGATGAGAAGCTATATGTGAGCACTAGTGAGGGACTAGAGCGGTAGGCTGTTGACTTGTTCATCCTATAGAAACATATCGTCACTCTCAGATTTGCTTGTTTCTATAGATTTGTATATAGAAACAACAAATACATTAGTGTCTGTTTTATGTTTTGGACGTTGTGTGTGCATGATATAGTAATAGTAATTATATGTACGTATCTGAACTTAGCTGGGAATTTTACACAGGGAAGTGTCTGATGGAAGGAAGGGGAGGAACTGGTGTGTCTTTTTGTCTGAGAGAGGGGCTGAAGAGTCCAACTGCATCCTGTTGACATATCCAAGTGGAGCAGCGAATGTCCCTACTGTACGGCACTTTCAGCAGAAAGTCATGTGCAAACTGATGTCCTCCCAAAAGAGCTCCTTGACTTTGACTTGTATTGCAAGATGTATAACGAATTGTTATGTGTAAACTGCAGGAGCTAAACGCATGCACCTGTGCAGGAAAAGGATCTTTTTAGGTGCCTTCAGGCCAGACACCCACAGCTGTTTAACCCAACGCAGGTTGTTATTTTTGATAATAAATTACCAGGTACCAGGACACTGTTTGCATCCATCTATCCATCCATCCATCCATCCATCCATCCGTCCTCTAGCTGTTTCATCCAGTACTGTCACGGGTGAGCTGGGGCCTATCCTGGCAAGCAGTGGATGCAAGGCAGGAAGCAATGTGGACAGGACATTAGTCCATCACAGGGCACACACGGGCACAAACAGACACACTTTACCAGAATCCTGTTAACCTACCAATATGTCTTTGGACTGTGGGAGGAAACCAGAGCACCTGGAAGAAGCCCACACAAATGCAGGGAGAACATACAGACTCCGGGCAGACGGCATTCCAGGTCTGGTAGTAAACCCATAGCTCCAGTGGTATGAGGCCGCAATGTTGGGCATGGACCCTCATTGTATATGATATTTTAATTATCTTACACAATGAGTGACAAGCTTTAATGGTCTGTTCGGCTGCTGCCACTGGTGCAGCACTGTCACGGCTTGTGTTGATCGAATAACTCCTGGCTTCTGCTCATGGTTTCTTTATCGAAGTACCGGCGAAGCTACTGGAGAAAGCAGTTAAATAATTTGCCCATTAATTAATAATGAGTGTGGCGAAGTGATTTGAGTTGGCTATAATAAACTTTTGGCGAACTGTTGCAGTTGTATTAATGTGTAATCACCCCCACGGCATATGTAATCGTGGAGGGTAATTTCAGCTTGAAACGTGTGCTTTTGGTGTCACTCATGTCTGAGGCCTGGGCTCACAGTGTCTTACACTTCCCCCGTTTTTGTGTTCATTTGTTTCTGAAGGACCAGCAGCAACTCTCCGTCAGCGTCTGTTTATCCATCTGCTGTGATCCATTCACAAATTTTCCTCCATCTGCTGTAATCATCACTGCACTTAAATGTTGAATCAGCTCGTTAGCAAACAATTAGCTGTATTTTGAAAAAGTGTTTAAAGAGACTTCTGAATGTTTCTCCTGAAGTTTTGGAGATGGGAGACAGAAGGCGACTGCACACTCTCTGCACACTCTTTCTAATTGGTAATCAGCCATCTCTTCTGTGTTGCCTGCATTAGCTCAGACTACTAATTTGAGCATTTTGAGACATTTGCAGACACAACTGCTCCTTGTATATTGTAGTTCAGGTCACCTTGATATGAAAAGGACATCGCTGCCTTGAATTAAACTAAATCTCTGTCATCCTGAGCAGGGGATATTAAGTGGACCCAACAGATTTCAGTTTTCAGTAGCAAAATGAGAATATAAGACACATCCAGAAGTTGTGAGCAAATATATTTAGAATGAGTCAGTTCTTTAAAAAAAAAAGGAACAAGCTTGATGATGTTTTGTAATTGTCGTTGAAGATTTCCTAGGATCCTTCAGGAAGTGCCAGTATGAGGCTCTTGTATCTGTTAACTAATGAGAATCACACATGCATACATAGCTCAATGGCCTCTTCTTTTTTGTTAAAATCCTTATGTTTGTTCTCTTGTTTCTTCTTTTCAGATTGACGCCTTGAGCAAAAGAAGCAAAGAAGCAGAGGCTGCCTTCTTGAATGTATACAAGAGATTAATCGATGTCCCAGGTGAGACTCAGACACAGCGGTGTGTTGTCTTTCTCCTCGTTGTGTTGCCAAGTGTGGATGAATACAAGCAGAGAACTGCTTCCATGAGAGTGTTCTTCTGCAGTCGTGGTGCTCCCTGGGAGTTAAAGTTGAGCGTGTGAAGTTTTCCTCAATGCCAGCCATGATGCAGTTTTTGCAACACACACTCTCATGAGAAATATCAAAGCGGAAATCATTCAGTGTGCTTCATTCTAAAAAACAAGTCAACAAATGATTAATTTGCTCATGGGCTGATAGTCAAAAAAAGAGAAAAACTCCCATTTTCACAATCCTCCTGAGAGAAATGAGTGATTCTGAAGTGATTCAAATACTGACATTTCGGCTGTGGAGCCTTCTTCCGAAACGTTGTCTCTTTTCTTCACTTGTTCTTTTGCAGCCTACGCTTGCTGGTGCAACTACTTAATTGTTTTTTGACAATTTACCGATTAACAGATGTCACTTTCAACTACAAAGCTATATCAGAGTGAAATTGTGCACGGTGCCCCTTTGTGCTGCTGGCTGGTCTGAAGCAAGAGAACAGAAATGGCACAAGTGCTTTTGCTGGCCGTTGTGATCCAGGACATCCAGGTCGGGTTTTCACTGTGTCTTTGGGCTTCGGGGTGGCAGGCAGGCAGACAGCAGGGCGTGTTTGAACAGGTCTGCCTGGGGAAACACTCAGCGCATCTGTAAATTATGGCTGTTGTGGTTTGGAGTTCCCAGCCATCCTAAAAAGAGGGGGGGGGGGAGTTGATCTACAGTAGACAGTTGCACAGAGCAGCCGAAGCCTGCCAAGACAGATGAGGAGCACCCCAGAGACTTTCTGCCATGCTCTGACGTCAACTTGTCTCTCCACTCGGATTAGCTGTGTGTGTGTGTGTCCTGTGTCTCTGTCTTCACTTGTAGGCCTTGCCTGCCTGCGTGTATCGTTGTTGTATCTGGCTGAACGTTTGGCACATCCTCTTGTGTCTGTTTGTGTATTTGTGCTGTGGAAGTGTGTGTGTCAGAGCCCTGGCAGCCTGCATCTTTCCTGCTTCCTTCTGAGAATTCCCAGAGTTCTGTGAGCAGAGCCACATCCTCCCACTTTCTCCCGATTTCCTGATTGCCTGATACACACAGCTGCTCCTCAGCTCAATAGCCAGGTCCAGAGGCTCCACTGCCTTATGGGACTCATGTCTAATCACAGCAACAGTGTGTTTTCCCCTGACCTTAGAATCTTTTAAACATCATAGATGTTGAGTTACTTCATCCTGTTAATAACAGCATAAACCATTGTTTCTTAATCTGGGGTGCACTTTGGGTGCCCCTGGAATAGCGAGATGCCCTTTCTGCGGGTGCGAGACATGCCAGATGTTTTTAGTAGGTAAAATCGCAAAACACAAAACAAGTACAGGTACGTAAGTACAGCTACAGTACTTTCACCAAATCTGTATATTTTAAGGTTAATGTAGTGTGTCATTATTTTTAATGTTGCTGTGAAACAAAATAGAATTATATATTGATTCTATTTTATTTAGGAATATGTTTCATTTTATAGTTAAGATATATCTCATGTTTAAAGAAGTGATCTGCTTCAACACTTTTTGATAAAAGGTGCGAGCACCTATTTTGAGAGCCAAAGGGATGCAAGCTGCAGTCAAGGTTAATAGCTGCTGGTTGAAGCTACTGCAGTTATAACGACATACTGCATGAGAGTCCGGTTCAAATGAGAAAGTAAGGCACTGTGAGCACCTGCGACCACAGTGCCCGTCCCTGCTCCTGCCTCCCTGTCCTGCCCTCACATGGCAGCGGCCCTGGCCTTCCTGCGGCTGTCATTCCCACATGGCCTGGGCGCTGGGACATGGTTACACAGCCCGCCACTGGCCCTTCAGCTCCAGCACACCTCTCTATGGGAAACAGCAGCTGTATCGCAGGCTTGACTCTACTGCGCTAAACCAGCAGTTTATGTCTGCTATCCTGGTGCTTTATTTTTTTTTTTAAGTGTCTGCTGTATGTTTTCTGTCATGCAGTCTGATTATAGTGATTGAAGAAGGGCGGGTGTCCATTCAGGGTATCCTTTAACACTTTTTGGGTGAACAGTGTAACTAAAACATAAAAACTAAATATTTTACCACTTCTGTTCTGTAAGATATTATGGGTAATTGTTGTTTGCAATTCAGGGATCTGAGTTATAATTATATCAACGATGCTCATATTGTATGAGCCGAGACTTTGTAATTGGAGTAAGATTTAAAATTTTACTGAGAATCAAGGTTGCTGGGATGTTAACAATGGAGAGAAGAGGTTTGGTGTGTTACGTCATGTGGAGAAGCTTATTTTTAAGAATCCTTCTAACATTCTCCTTACATTTTTTATGGGAGACTTCTCAGACAGTTCGCTGTGCTCGATTTGGTGGGCTAAACAGAGATTTCTACCTGAGACAGTTACTACAGTGTGAAATTTATAGGTGCCTGTCTTCTAATCTGGCTCTTTTAAATCATTAAAAGAGGTTTAACATTCTGTGACTCACTGAACTACTTTCTAAAGGCAAGCTGTAGGCATTCCACAGCAGGGAGACAAAAAAAAAACTGAACGTTAAAAAAAAGCTTTTTATTTTTTGTAAAGATGATTGGTGAAGAAGGCTGATCTAATCTGGTTCTTCATCAAAAGCTCTTTCTGTCTTTAACTTTTTTGTTCTGCTTTTCATTCCATCTCTCTCTCTCGCTTTGGCTGCTGACTCCTGCTGTCCTCACTCCCCTTCTCTGTCCCCTCTCCTCTGTCCCTCTCTCTCCCCCTCTCTCCGTCTCGCTCTCTCTCTCTTCCCGGCGGGGCTCTTGGGGCTAATGTAATCATATGATTACATAATTAACCCAGCTGTCTCATTAAAGAAAATCAACTGGAATTGGGGCATAATTAGTCATACAGCAATTAGTATGCTGATGATGAGCGCTGATGAAAAGGCTTGCCTGGCTGGCAGGGCCTCTGAAGAGACCACCATGGGAACGCATGCTCGTCTCCTGCAGACCACCAGGGCTGGGTTTCACGTGGGGCCATCGCTGCCAGGCTGAGATTTACCCGAGAGGAGAAGAGCAGCTTGAGAAGGCAGCAGAGTTCTGCAGGCACAGCGATTCCTGATCACTTGTTAAAGATGGAGTGCACACTGCATCCCTGCAAAAGTCTTTGGCACAGTTGGGAGTTGCTTTTTGTGTATATTATGAGCATTAACAGCTTCCTCAAACCCTCCACTTGTTTTCTGCTTTTATAACAACTTTGCTATTCATACAGCTTAGTTAGGGTGGAAAGTAACCAAGCTTGTTCTGTAGAAATATGAAATTTACATAGATCATAATCTGCAAAAACTAATCACAGCTATTTAATGTGAATTCTACATGCAGTATGAAGTGTTGTGTGATGGATTAACTGTAATTTACCATGCATGACTAGTTGATTAATTGTTGGAAGTTCCTTATCATTAACTTCATCTGTTCTTCTGTATACATTCATGAAGCTTAAAAGGGTACCTTTTGTACTTGTAATAACGCGTCTATCAGAGTTCCCTATTAGTTTAAAGCAAAATGGCTAAATGTTCAGGAGCAAATCACCCTAGAGCTGTCTCTGCATGAAGAAGAAAGAACAGTGCAATATGTCCAAGGCTTCTGTGCAGCTGTGTGGCTCATTCAGGAAAACAGTGATTACAGCAGAATCTGGACAGTACCCAGGCACAGATCTGCCCCCACATCCCTCCTCACAGTGCTGGCTGTTTTCAGAAGATTTTAACTATGACTAATGTACTATTTGCTGTTGTTTTATCTTCTTACGTATTATAATGCTTTGCAGTGTAGTTCAGCTGGGAGGGTGAGAGATTGAGCACGATCTTATTGTGTAGGGCAAGAACGTCTGGTATGCTCCCTGTTCAAATTAAGCCTTTACGCTTATACGGACATCTAATACTTTTCTGGAGCAGCATCCTTGTGACTGCCTGTTTCCCACTCTAGAGATTTAGAAGAACGTGTCTGTCTCTTCTCCTTGTTGCCAGCACTGTCCTGTTTGACAGCATCCTTCAGGCTCAGTGGACAGGATTGCCGAGGATGACTCCCCGTGCCACTGGAGATGTGGAAGCAGGGCTTCTTCTTCTGCACACATTTCCTCTTGGCTTATTAAGTTCTGACACAGTTCTTCACTTAATGCTCCAGTCAGCTGTTAACACCAAGGAGTGGGGCACTGTGGCCAAGGTGGTCCGCATCGGTTAGTCAGCTTCGTCTCTCTCACAGAAGCCTTGTCTGCACTTCAGTGTAGGACACAGTACAGTCGGAGGATCAGGAGATGACTTTTGATTTTACATGCTGTTTTCTTCTTCTGCTGCTTTTGGCTGTTTTGCCTGATGCTCTTTGTTTTGTTTTTACTTTTTCTTCTTGGGTTACCATGTGTGTTTATCAAAAAGTTCCTGTAAAAACGGGTTCTGAAATGACATCTCCAAGTTGATTATGGGGAGGAGAACCAGTGAAGGAAACTGATTTTGTGTAGTATGTTGTTATCTCATTGGTGGCTTTTAGTGTGTGTGAGTGCAACACTTGTACTAAATCGCTCACTCTGCTCCCTTTCATTTGACAGTGACGAGCCTTTTGTAAGGCTTCATTGTAGTTAGCATTGCAGGATCTTTAAGTGGAAGCCATTTCCAGAAATCATGCAGAATAGAAGCAATCAGACATGATACCAACCAGAATAGAAATCGCACAATGACAATTTAACTTCTCTGAAATAGTGTACTAATGCTTTGTATTAAGTGTGCACCTGTAAAGGCTCTGGCTGGGCTTTCCCCTTCTGTTTCTGTTCATTCTTTTCTCCTCCTGTCATTTTCAGTTCTCTTCTCCAGGACAAAATCGAGCAGTTTTTATTCATGATGTGGGCAAAAAAAAAAAAGCATCTGGGCCACAGTGGCAGTAAAACATAAGTTCATCTTGTTGCCATGTGACAGAAATGCATTTCTAATGCACTGCTGTATCAGCACAACCTCAAGATGCAAAGAAAAGTTGCTATAGATAGCACTGCTCCTGCCAACAAGCACTTCGCCAATTAGTCATTGAATTGCTAATGTTTGAAGAAGCCCAAATCGGGGGAAAAAGTGGACTAGGAAATGAGATGCTAGATGATCCTTAAGAAAAGAATAATTTGGCACAGATTATGATTTGGATAGATCATACCATCTCAAGTACATTTTCTTGATGCTCTTGATTTTGTTTTTGCTGAGCTCTTCCTTATTTTAATCAGCTGAGTTGAGATGTTGACACATGGCAACCTTGAGAATATAACCCACGATTAAATGCAGGTCTGTGCGAGAAACTGCACATTTCTAAAAAGTTGTGTCAATGCCTGAAGATTTATAATTGCCGAACTGTTAGATCAGTTTTGGTGGGATTAGGAAATGCTGTAGGGGTTTTATTAAAAAAACAGGAGGGAAGTCTGTCTGTTTTTCTCAATGGAGCCCAGTTAGGTCAGTCTCTCTCTCTTCCAGCATTGTCAGAGGCTGTTGAGGTTTTGGCAAGTGGAAGAGTATTGTTGAAGTTACTGTGGCCCAGACATGCTCTGATCATTATCTGACTCGTTGGGTAATTAGTAACTTCTTAAACATGGTAATAAAGACTGAGCCTGGGAGGTGTCTCAGACATCTTCTGTCTCTCAGTGCTTCGAAACAATACCCTTTTTCTGTAGGGGGTGAACTCCTTTCCAGCTGCAATGGTCAGGTAAAGCTGAATGAATGAAGTGCGAGGCCTTGTAGTATCCTGATCAAGACCAATACAGGCCCGGCCATAATCTCTGCTCAATTCCAAACATCCTTCATCTTGAAAGTGAACAAGGGATTTTTGGAAAGAAAACCACTGTAGAGTTTTCACCTGTGTCAAAGCGGTGCAGATGGGTGTCTTTGGTGTGAGCAACATGTTTCGTAATTTGAAATTTCTAATGTGCTAAAAGGCATCTTTTTGTGCTACATAAAAGTGGATATAGCTTACATTGTTGGAAGCCTTGGTTTACCTTGATTTAGATGAATCATTTACTGTGGTCATGAGTTTTGAATAGTGACAGAGAGAATGAGATTGTGGGTACAAGCGGTGGAATGAGGTTTCTCCATGGTGCAGCTGGGCATTCTCTCTGTGACACAGAGATGAGCTCAGCAGTATGGGAGAACCTTGCAGTGCAGTCGCTGCTCGACCAGATCGAGAGGAGCCAGCTGAGGTTGCTCAGGCATCTAGTGAGGATGCCCCTCGGAGGCCTCCCACTGAAAGAAACCCCAGGGCAGACCCAGGACATGCTGGGGGATTATACATCTCTGCTGGCCTGGGGGTGCTTGGGAGACTTGCTGGAGATAGGAAGTCTGGTCTGCCCTGCTCAGCCTGTTATGACCCTCCCCAGGAGTAAGTGGTTAGAAGATGGATGGATTTTTAAAACTTCTTTGGTGAGATTATAGAAAAGCAGTGCGGATGCAGTGTGGGGCCTTCACTGCGGGTGTGTGTCTTTCAGACCCGGTGCCTGCTCTGGAACTCGGGCAGCAGTTGCAGCTGAAGGTCCAGAGGATGCACGACGTGGAGACGGAGAACCAGAAGCTGCGCGAGACGCTGGAGGAGTATAACAAGGAGTTTGCAGAGGTCAAGAACCAAGGTGAGAGAGGCCGTCGTGCAGCTCAACCCAGGAGAGCCTGTGCTGAGAGAGTAGTTTGGGACGTAACATTGGCTAAATGCGACCGAGGTCACATGGGTTTGACTTGGACTCGGGTTTTAATTGATCAGTAGTGCCCGACCTCTGGCGTCCTGCCCTGATGGAACTAAGATGATAGGATTGTCAGGAGGAGCTGTCTCAGTCCTCTACTCTGTACTCTTGCTCTGGTGATTGCTGACCTGCCAGTGCCCATTTCTTTGATGAAATAGCAGGGAAAAATACAGTTGGGGGAGCAAAACAGCAGTGAGTCAGAAGGAACGCATGGGAACAGGAAACAGAAAATGACCGGAAATGGTAGCTATAAAGTGAGGCTGACGATCTCCTCCACATCGCTGCAGAAAACGGCGTGTTTGCATCAGAAGCCCGCAGGCTCCAGTGGTTGGCCATCTGTGCTGTAGAGCAGCGTGAGGCAGCCACGGCAGTGGTGCTTTTCCCTGGCAGCAGCCTGCCCTGGAAATTCATTGTTACATGTTCAGAGACGGGATAGAATCACATCTGCCCCCGAGTCTGTTACAGGATCTCTTCAGGATGCAGTGGGGAGGGAGTGTGTCTGTAAATCCCCACCCGCGGAGAGCTAATTGAGCCAACTCGATAGCGGCAGTGTTATATTTTGTTATTGATTTTTGTTTTTGCCTTTTCCCCTCCCTCCTGTCTGGACTGTGGAAATCCCCCCCCCCCCATCCCTTTACACTCTTCCCTGCTGAGGCCATTGATCCTCTGCAACCTAAACGTTTAAAGTTCAATTTAACAGTTAAGGAGTAAAAAGTCTCCGAAGGGACTCATTGCCATTGATTATGTGTCAGGGCTGAAATGCTGGAGTTTAAATCACTGGGAAGGGGAGGGGAGAAGAAAAAAGGCAGTGAGCGGATCTGAGAGCTTTCATTCACAAACAGGCAGCACAGCCCTCCCTGCCTCTCGCCCCCCTCTCCTGTGTTTCTCGTACTGAACCTGCGCCTACGGATCACATACAGGCCTGCGCCGCCCCAGACAAGCGCTCCGCCTTGAAAGGAGGGTGACTGCCGCTGAACAATACCGACACTGAGCCGTTTGTGTCTCAGTCCGAGTCTCTCCAAGCAGAGATCCTGCAGTGTTTTGTCCTCTTTCTCAGGCTGGGTTAGCTCCTGCCAACCATTTCTCTGTGAGTTTGTTTCATTGTTCTTGCACTTTGCAACGAACCGATCGAATGCCCAAGGAAATCTCGGAAGTGTCAGTGTGCTCCTGTGGGTTCCCGCTGGGCGATTGCTGTTAACACAGTTCTGCCGCTGCAGAGAGAAAGGGATTTTCATTTAGAGCACAGTATCTTGTTGATGTCAAAGAGACGAGTCATATTATTATGAGACTGTTTCATTAAAGTCATCATCTGCTTTTTTTGATTGAATCTTTGAGTAGTAATATCTGCAACTTAGTATTTTTCTCCACCTAAAAACCTTGAGCTGCCATGCAGTTGCTCATTGTAATTCCAGTAATAAATCAGCAGGTTCAGATTGTATAAAAATGTCTGGCAATTAATTGATTGCGGTTATTGATGGCAAGCACTGCAAGGAGTAATTGCTAAGTGTAAAACCACTATAGACTTGAAGATGGATGTCTTCAATAAATCCTGATCTCGTTAGGTCATGGTGGGGGGGTTGGTCTTGGCTGGGTCAGCCTTTGGAAGACCCTACCACAAGTCCTTCTGGACTGCAGAATCACCCGTGATTTCTGCCTGACATAGGTGTTATAATCATCTCCCCTCTCTCTTCTGGGGCAGAGGTTACAATCAAAGCACTTAAGGAGAAGATCCGGGAGTACGAACAGACTGTCAAGAACCAGGCGGAGAACCTGGCTCTGGAGAAGGAGCAGCAGCTTCACAATGACTATGCAGAGAAGGAGAGGTGAGTGAAGCCCCTGGCCTGCCCGCCCACGCTGTCATACATGCAGGTAGCCAAAATATGAGTTGGACAGAAAACATGGGAAACACTGAGCTAGAGCAGACTGCGGATGAAAAAGACTTTGGTGTTTTATGTTGACACATCATTTACATCATCTACACAATGCGGAGATGCAATAGAAAAAGGCAAACGTCCGTCCTAACAATGTTAGGGTGTACAGCTGAGAGCATAGAATTTCAGTCAAGGGGTGTTAAAATTGTCCGATGCTCTCGAAAGGTCTCATTTAAAATAGTGTGCTGAGAATAGGAAGCAGTGTTTCACCCTCAGGGTGCGGGAGAAAGGAACAAAGTGCTTCGTTGAAACCAGGCTGTACCACATTGTTGCAGCAGCAGTCCCGTAGTCCTCTACCTAGAGTTAAGGCCTTGTGGAATGGAGGTTGCTGGTTTGATTCCGAGTTGTGTTCTCATCTCCACAGTTATTCCTATAAAACAAAGAGCCATTTACTTGGGTCTGGAAGGGTGCGACTTGGAGACGTGATGGTCTAGAATTGCAGTGGGTGTGTCCCCAGGGAACACTCGGCGCTTGGATCATGGTTACACAACTCCTTACTTTGGTCAGCTTTGTAAAACCACTAATCTCCCTGTAAAGCATTTAATTCCGTAATGTTCTTTTTCTTTGGGTCATAAATCTCCCTCCATAACTTGAAGATATCCCTAATTCCGGCTCGGCCGTCCGTGCGGCCTGCCTCGGCGATTGACTGCCATGGTAATGCTGGTCTTGTGAGGCACGCTGAGCCGCTCTCACCCAGTCTGCCCCTCGGCTCGGCTCCCAGCCCTCCCGCAGAAACGTGCTGTCCCCTGTGGTCAGCAGGCCAGGTCCCCTGTCAGTGTCTAGGACAGCTGTGTCCCAGAAATAAAGGAATCTGTATTGTAAAGAGGTTATTGAACGTCTGTATCCTTAGAGCTCAGCATTTCTATAGATTGCAAATGAGCAGTTGTGTGTCCAAGTATTCAGCTCTAAGCGTGTTCTTTTGTGTTTTATTTAAATGGTTAATGGTGAATGACTGTGCTGGGCTGTTATTCATTCAGTCATTTATGCTAATAGTCTGCAGTCTGTTCCCTGGGCTTCCTTTTTCCACTGTTCGCATGTTCATTTGGGAAACTCAAAGATACTAAAAATGATGTAAAAATGTGAACAACTCAACTCGTGCAGAATTGACGATTTCTCAAATTACTGCCCAAGATATGCACTGTCACTGGTGTTACCAACAGCAGGTTATTGCAGAATTCAGTCTCTGCTTCAGGAAATCGGTTTTATAGTTTGAAACCTCTTTTTTTTTTGCTTCAGCAGTTCACCATGATGAAATGTAGGGTCTTGATGCAGTCTTTATAGATTTTAAATCTTGTTGGAAGGTCCTGTTAATCATTGTTCTGTAACGGTTTCAAACAAATCTGCTTTAACTTGCTCTTGGAGCTGAGCCCATTCAGAGCAGACTGATTTATCAATAGAGAAAGCCGGTTCTTTATGGGTTAGTGGATTCTTGCATGTTGGGAAGCCTAGTTCATGTGACTGATTGTGACTGATGTTTTGACCAGGAACAGATAAACATTACAGTAAACAGAAACCCCATAGACGGCACCACCTGTTTTTTCTTCAACATGTAGTTTGCCACAGGGGCTCATTTCACCCTCACCCTCTCAGGCAGTGTCTGTCTGCTTGCCTGCGTAGGGTTCAAGATTAGAAAAGGGGGTCTCTGGAGTCTCTGTCAGGATTTCCTGGTTCCTGGTTTCGTTTGGCGCTCCCTACAAAGCCCCCTGTTTGTTTGGATTGTCTTCAGTGAGCTCGCCAGGCAGCTCACTGCCCACACTGCTCTTTCAGGAGGTTCTTGAGCGAGGACGTGGGTCTGTGACTCACCTGCTGCTCAGACGTGGCCCTCTGACTCTGTGAAGTCTAACTGGAGGGTGGGGGATTCTGCTTGCCATCTTCACAGAAGAGTGCCTGACTGGGGGGCTTGGTTTGCATGGAAAGAGAGCCAGCTGTGTGGTGGGTTTTCTCTCAGTGACCGGTGCCTCAGTATTGCTCAAGACCTTGACAGCAAGACAGAGCACCATTAAGAGAACCGAGTGGTCTGATGGGAAGACTGCTGGGCAGCTCTTGCAGCACAGGGAACGACAATTCCCTGGTGTCCCAGTCGTCAACTCCGTTAAGAAGAGTTTCACAGTCCAAGCCGACCTGACATTTTCAGGTATTGAATGGATATATTTTATTCTTTCGCAGGCTTCATTCTTTTCTCACCTTTTGCTTTATGGATCTGAAAATTTAAGATTGTTTTTTGTCATTGTTTCTAAGATGTTTTTTTTCCAAAGTCACTTCACTTCGAGCAGAAGGCAGGAGAGGGAGTTATAACTGCTGAACATAACAGAAAGCTGCACTGTTTTTCTCACCCTTTGGCAAATACAGTGGTGCCCTGACACAAAGCAAATTAGTCTAAAAAACCAGGGCAGTGTTGCTTTAACAGCCCAAATAAAATAACATAGACCGTTTGTTCAATTTCTCCGTAAGTCAACAACTATATCAGCAAGACAGAAAAATAAGTTCATGTGTCCTGTGTTCTTAAAGTTCATGTGTCCTGAGTTCCAACTCCAAGTGTTGACCTTAACAATGCGAAAGAGTTTTCAATGGAACCATAACCTGACTTTTATTCTCGGTATTAAGTTAACTGTTTTGGAGATACACACAGTCAGGATGCACTCACTACACTTTCCAAAATCTGACAGCGCCTCAGTTGGGGTAAAAAAATCTGGAATGTGCTCTGAATGTGAAATGTATTTTTGGGGAGAATAGACTACTGGTTAAGATGTAGTGGCAATTTCTTTTGATCCTCCCTGATCCCTGAGTTTTTACACCTCCCCGTTCTCTTCCGTTCATCACATTCCTGCATTCTCTTCCACACCTCGCTCTTCTCTTCCCTGTCGTGTGGATGTATTATTAAGGCCTTCTCCTGCAGACTCCTTATTTAGTAATGAAGCCTGTTTATGACACCTCTCAAGACGTCGGCTTTTCTTCTAATGAGGAGTTTGTGAAAACAGTGCTTGTCGAAGGGGCTGTCTTGATGAGTTATTAATATCCCACACCGACAGGCAATCCAAAAACTAAAGTATTTTCTAAGCTGCAGTCAAAAGAAACCAGTCTGGGGAAGAAAAAAAGGTTGTTTTTCTGTGTAGGTGCCATTGTGGACATAGGTTGTGTGTTGTGATGGCTGAACAGTCCTGCAGAATGCGTTTGCACCAGAAAACTGTCTGATCTTCCATTTTCAAATTGAATTGATTCTGTCTTTCTTTATCTTCGACGTCAGTCAAGACATCTGTAGAAATACAGAAGGATGATAAATATTCTGGTGACTGTCTTTATTCTTCTGAAGGTCTTTAAATCATGACGGTAGTCTTCTCAGCTTACCATTTGCTTCCTGACTCAGTTTTTGAGAAATATCAGGCAAATGTCAAACATGGAACCATATGATGTGACTGTGATTCTGTAAAGTTTAATGTTGGTATTTCAGGAGCTTTCATTTCTGGAGCTGTTTTCGAACTTGACTGCCAAAGAGCTTTTACGTGCCAAGATTTGCGGATTGACTGATTTTAACAAAACATTGTAAATTACACTTTAGCAGGCCCCCTTTTTGCACCGGAAACAACTTTGCTTAAATAAACAATTCAAAAGCGTCGGCCTGTAAACACTTCTCTATACGTTTCGGGAAGTGATTGAGGTTTCTCTCAGGTGTTCTGACACATTAAAGCTGGAGGACGTGTGCCCTTGAAAAGGAAGAGTCTTCTTGTGGCTTGAAGAATTGTAAATCCCGTGATCATGAGAAGTACCGTATTTTGTGAAGCTTGCACAGAATTACAGTCTTCACTGGGGTTCTGTTTTCTCCTTTCAGAAAGCTACAGGAATCCCAGGAGTCACTGGCCTCCAAGCTGGAAGAGGCAGATCACAAGGCCCAGTCACTACAAACAGGTACAGAATACACTGAACAAGTTACTGGCACCTACCAGCCAGGAGAGCACAAAGCATTGTGACCATTACACCTAATCCTCTAGAGTGCACCAAACAGCAGCAGTACGAGTCCTGCTTCGCAGATGTAACCACAAGAGAGTTGTAAATATGATTACACTTGTAAATTTATGATTCGTACTGGCCTGGCCTTAGCATTTTCTAAATCTCTTTGTATGACAAATAGCATGCATCAAAATATCCCTCGATATTTTTATTTTATCCAGAAAATGAATGATTTAAAAAAAAGCTGTCTGAATGTCAAGACCTTTACACACCTCTATATGACGGATCCTCTTATTTCTGATACTCTTGCCATTTGTTGACCAATCCACAGAAATGGGAACTTAACCCTTAGGCCCTCTAGTTTCCACAGAACTTTTACTTTTTTTAAACTTTAATCAAAACAAAGTTTTGGTGGTAAAAAAGCAGCTGGTCCTTAAACTGACATAACATTGAGTTGTCAGTGTGTTAGTTAATACACTACAGCAAGGATATGCATGGCAGAATATCTTCTCTATAACTTCCTCTTGGTTGTTCATATCCTGCTGTGTACAACTGCTGATCGATTGATGTTCGTATAGTGACTCTCATCACAAGTCAACGTGGCTCGACTAGTAAGGGCATTCGATGGGATTGGAGTTTGAGCTCTGTGATCCAGAGCTCCGCAGCTCCAGTTTGGGTCGTGTCCTTAGACAACTGTGAATGGAATTTGCCACCAGGGCAGGGCAGAGAGCAGTGGACCAGGGCTCTCTCAGCTGCCACCTGTCGGGCATGAACAGTGAGAGGCGCTCTGTTCTTCCAACTGGAGGAAACTCTCCTGTCAGCTTGCCATGTGCGAGGAGACACAGGAAGAAGGGCTTATTGAAGGAGCAGGTCACCTGTCTCGTTCTCTCCTGAATGGGTGCAGGAGTCATTGCCAGAGCTGTCTTCAAAATAATACAATTGGCAATTATGAAATGTTATTCTGAACATTACAAAACAAAGAAATATATCTTTATTTGAGGTTTTTCAGTAGTTAGTAATGAAAACCAGTAATGGTTCTATAACTTGGTGCAAGAATGTAGATTCATACCAATAATCAGTTCTTGAGGCAATATGTTCTTCTTGTTGACGAGCATCTAAGCTGCTTTCTCAAAACCAGAATCTCTGGGGTTAATTCTCATTATGAAAGTTCAATGACAAACACTAACTGTGCTTTAAAAGAGCCAAGAGCAACATTAGCTTTCCTGCTTATTGAGTCAGGATATTTGTCAGAGTGAAAAATTCACAATTGTGAAGGGGTCTGGTTTTGTCAATCCTTGAAATGCATATCAGAGGGCTGTTTGTCCTGTACTTTAAATGGTGCATTTTTTTTTCAGCACTTGAAACAACTCAGGCAGAGCTTTTTGATCTAAAGACCAAGTACGACGAAGAGTCCACGGCAAAGTAAGTTTACTCTCCTCCCTGCTGTCCTGCTGTGTAACTACCTTATGAACTGTTGATTTCAATTTACTCCATTTTATGTTGTTGTTGTTACATATTTCACCTAGTCAGTATTTCCCATTCGTGGTACTTGCATACTCTTGGGTTTTCTGGATTTCCAAATGATCTATTAATAACTTAGGTTGATTGATACCTGTGATTGAGGTATTTTGCTTCGTTAGAAGTGTTGTGATTGTTGAAGGCTCCTGAACCGCTAGTGTGAAGTCTATATTCAGTGCTAACTTTCAGTGTTTTATATTAAGTGAGCAGGTGTCTGGATTTGGAGCAGTTGGACCCATGCAAGGATAGGAATATTTATTATGGGAGTGTTTGATAAAAGCGCAACTCCCACCAGTTAGCACAACAGTAATTGATGACTTGTTAAAGAGATGTTTGACTGCTGTAAGGCGTTTGACCAAGCTGAGGACTGACTGAGAAGAGCTCTTCTTGACCACATTTCTTGGCAGCAGTATGCTTGCAGCAGGGCGTTTGTGAAACCAAGGGCTAAGTGCTGAAAACTAGCTGAAAGAAAAACGATCTTGTTTAAAAGAATGGTTCAGGCTGCAGGTTTAATAAGGCTAGGTGATGATGAACCCATCTGGAATGAAAGTGTGACAGCAGTCAGACAGGGGTCCGGGAATCATGAGCAGGACCCCGCGAGTGGAGGGGTGGGCAGGCAGGGCAGGTACGTGCAGCGTGGAGGGCCGGCCTGCGGAGCTGTGTGTGGGAGCCGCCTGTGCCTCTCGCTGCTCTCCCTGTGGTTGGGCGCGAGCTGTAATTTCCATGTCGAGCTGTCACGCAGGAATGCTGCCTAGTGCTGAGCCTGCGCCCTGGGGCTATTTTGGTGCTTACCACCCAGCGCTTGGAAGCGGCTTAATTACAGCTGCAGTAACCAAATGAATGGAGGCCCTTGCCAGCCCCACTTGTGCTGCTTTTGAAGTGAGCAAGCCCCATGTCAGCGCGGCACCGCGGCTGCCGGTCCCCACGTTACCTCGCCTCGCCGGGGGTCCCCCGCCGCTGTCAGCCCCCGAGAGCCGCCGGCTCGTCCCTGCGCCCCTTCCCGGTCCGGCCGGTGGGATTCCGTCCCCGAGGATCGTGCCATTGGCAGTCAAGAGCGAAATGTTTACAGATCGCAGGTTTGCACACGTCCATGCGTGGAAAACAGTGGCAACTCAAACAGTGTCAGGGACAGTCTTTGATTCTAAGGTTTCGGAATGAATTAAGTATGTCCCATATGTGCTAAGTGATTGGTGCAGATACCTTTAGATCACATCTATGCTGTGTATCGGGGGGATAAAAGGTAAACATTTGTGTTTCTTATACAGTGTGCTTCAGAAATGACAGACCTGACAAATGGGTTTGATTGACTCTGGCTGAGCTTGAAAGCCAGCTGTCTCTGACCAGCAGATGTAGGAATAAGTTCACTCATTTTCCTTTCAAACCACACCCTAGAATAGTGATGATCAAATACCAGCCCTCCTAATCCGCTGCAGTTCAGTTCTGTGGTATATTTAACTGTTTAATCCGATAATTGGACTAATTGCCGTTTAACCAAACAACAAACATGTTGGTTTCTTATGGTGGAATTCACAAGACGTTCCAGGATTGTACTGACCTACAGCAAAGATGTCCACCACAACCAGATGGTGGAAAAACAGAAAGCAGAAAGCACTGAGTTTGGATTGTCTATTTTATTTCCTCCTGTTATCAGAGGAGTTGCATGCAGCATTAGTAATCATTTAAAGAGGTTTGCTTTAATTAGGCATTTCACACTTCTTTTTTGCCATACATGTGTTTTCCAGCTTGCTTTGCACGCAAAGAATCACTCAGTATTCACTTGATGGTTAAGCGTGAATCTCCTGTCACATGTCTTTTGTGTGTGAGGACCTAAATCGACATACCAGTGAGATTGAACATGAGGAAGGTGATGTACGAGGGTTTTATCATGTCCTCGGGACCTGCAGTCTTTCTCAGTCCCATCTCGCTCAGATTGCCCAAGATACAGCTGTCCATTGACATACAGAGCTGTGTTGAAGCATCACACTATGCTAGAATAGCCCCTTGTAGTCGCTTTACCCTCACTGTAACAAAACACAGAATTGCTGCCAAACGGCTTGATATTTATAGACCTGCTTTATTTCCCTGAATGCACGTCACTGAAAAACAGCTAGACTAAACACATAGCTCCCTGGACAGTCCAGTAGGCTTCTCATTCTAGCCCTTACTATCTCTGTTTAGATGACCGCTGGCTTGGCTCAGGCTGTGTTGAAGTGATCCAGGTGACCTGTCGGTACTCGGGCAATATTGAAATGAACAGAAGCTTTGTTAGAAACCTTCATGTTTTGCTTCGTAATGCGAACGGTGTGGTGATGAGACCCAGACTGGCTGTCAGAGTGTGCAGGAGGGTGGGTTTTTTAGCTGTCCATCAACAGGTGAAGGTGCCCACTGTGCACAACAGGGACCCCTCGTTCAGGCTTGGCAATGCAGGGCACACTGTCAGGTGTGGCCACTTTTACTTCTGCCCAGCGCTCTGGTGAACGCATTCACATCACTGTTGTAGTTGAATATCAGTTGCAAAATGTCCTGCCTGTAACCTTAATAAGGAGCTTTCCAGCTTTTCCTTATGCTGGTTTGGTCAATTTCCCCCTCTTTTCAGTGTTGCTGACAGGAGTGTTGATTGTAACAAAGGCATTGTTTACCCCAGTTCAGATCTGCAGTCTCTGTGCTTGTTTGGAAAACGGTGGTTCTAGTGCCATGAACCAAGTTTCAAAGTGGAAATTTCCCTCATCCTTCCCCAGCTGTTAAAATCCATTGTTTGTTCCTGGTTTCTGCCTTTGAAATACATATATGGGATAATTTGGATGAGCATTTGAACTGCACCCAGCTTCAGTTTCAGTTCTAGCTAGTCAGCATTGGCAATTTAAACACTTTTACACACGCACTTAGAGAATATGTGCTGCTTAATATCTATTTTGTGTGTTTCTTTAACTGTGTTTGACAGTTCCTTTATGTGACGTTTTGAGCAAGATTTAGAAATGCGGTCCTGTAAGAAACAACACTGTTCTGTGCAGTACAGATTATGTTTCTGTGTGAAGAATGGAGTTTCACTTAGATTTAAGAGTAATATCCACTTTCAGGAAACGGCAGTGGCTTATACTAAAAGCAAGACAGGATTCAGAATGTAGCTGTGTCTTATTCCTTAAATGATGCTCATAAAAAGGTTTTAGAAAAATGCATATTCTTTGTATGTCAGTTTTCAAGTATGCTTTGCAGAATACTGCATTCTAGGTCACAGTTTTGAATGATTTATAAATTTGTATAATTTAGCTGACTCTCTTCAGTATCAACATTGAGGACTTTTGTTCTGCAGACAGATACAGATTTGCATATTTATAAATCATTCAAAGCTGTAGGTCAGAACACAATATTTTGTGATGTGCAGATGAAAACAGTTAAGTAGGTGTTGAAGCTGTAATGTGTTTTTTAATGTGTCTCTGGATAGTGCTCCTCTCCAAAGTCTGGGACACAGAAAATGTCTAAAGCACGTTTGAATTGCTCAGCAGTTTGTCAAGAAGCGACACCTCTAGACCCCAGTGGGTTTCAGAGAGCCATTTGCATCTGGCCTTTCGGGGTTGGATCATTCTCTGTATGCTTTTCACAGCAGCTCTGGTACCTGCTGTGTTTCATGGTGATGTCATCGTGCAAACAGCTAACAGCTAGGAGGCACTTTGATTGATGGGCCCCCACCACCACCACCTCTGCCATTGGTGTTCAGTGCAGAGGAACTGACGGACTCTTTCCAGCGCTCAGCATGTTACAGGAGCAATTTGTAGCAGGATTTCCACTGCCATGGGCTGCAATCAGAAGAATTCCAGTGTATTTACTTTTGTTAAGTATAGAAACAACTCATTTTACTGTAGGAAATAATAGGCTGTATTTCTCTGTAGCCCTACCTGACGCAATAGTCTGTATCTGTAAGCTGCTGGACACATGTTACATTATCTTGGCCACATTAGGTTAGCAGCCTGACATTAAATGAAAGCAAAACTGCCTTTTGAAAATAATTTTTCGTAGCCTTCCTTTACATTTGCCGTAGAACTCAAGCTGCGGATTCTGTTTATAATGGAAATCCCGTGTGCTTGAAATACATTTCAGTGCCCGACACCTATTTTGCACTGAATAGAAAATCGAGTTGCCTTTTCCTTTCCTTTCCTTGTTTGCGTGTTGCCCGTTGAAGGTGCTCGCGAGGCCAGGCTGTACTGGAATGTACCGGGGCCGGGGAGCTGTTTGTTGGGGCTGGCTGGCTGCTGGAGATCCCCTCATTAATAAACACTGCCGAGCCAGGCACCTCCCCCTCCCCGCCGCACAGACAGAACGCCTTGTACCTCATCAATGGATCCTTGTTCTGTCTCCAAGGGCTAATTACGTTTCAATTGAAACGAGTCATGGAAAACATTCCCCCACCGCGTGCTTCCCCAACAAGAGCCTTTCAGGAGCCTGGGCTCTGACTGTACGGAGGCTCTCCCCGGCTGTGGCAGAGCCATCGGGATTTCTGCATCTCTGCCTTTGCGCTGCGGAAGAACAGAGAATAGAAAAGAAGATTCCCTTGCGTGCAATTCTGAATACATATAAAGGATTTGAAGATTAAAACCCCCAAACCGCTGATCCTCATACTAGACACAAATTGGAGAAAGGGGGAGCCTGTCTGTCCTGGTTTCAGCGTAGTGGACAGAGAGGGGAATGTGCCTGAGTGCTGAGTGAGGAGGGAGCAGATTGATGTCCCACTTCTGCACAGAGCACTGCGTTGATGCAAACTGAGAGCGCTGTCCAGATTATTATTTGTGCTCTGCCTGTAAGTGAAAAAGAAATCAAACTTTTTTGTTATCCACCATGAGAATGCACTGAAAATTAAAAAATAAACATTAAAGAAAGCAGCCCAGAGCTAAATAGAAGGGAAACGGTGG